TTGCTTACAAGAAGAATAAAAAAACTAGTATTCCGAACGCGACAGGATTTTTGTAATTTAGAAGCAGTTACAAAACGCTCATTAAGAGCACATTATGTAGGCCGGCGGGTTCTATTTTGCACCAATCAACTAACACCACACATAATATGTTATTTTATCCCTGCCACATATTTCACGAATTTTTGATGTGTTTTTATGGAAAAACACATAAAAAATTCGTGAAATTCTGATGGCAGAAAGTACCACTGTTTAACGATTTGGCACTACTCTTGTAAACCAGTTACCTTTTGCCAATATATTACAGTCAACTATGAATTGTCTTTAAACAAGCGCGTCGAGATCCTCATCATCTTCTTTTTTACTCTGGCGATTCCATGTAGTTTAAATAATATAATGTAAAAGAGTTTTTAGAAGATACATTCTTGGTGCATGAGTTTGTTAACTAGTTAGTGATAAAAAGATATTTTTTCAATTTAATTTTTGTTACAGTAGAAAAAATACATAATATAAAACTGTTGGCTAATATATTAAGTAAGTGTAGCAATTAGGAGATTAGTCCTTTCTTCTATTATTATTTTTTTATTATTATTATTTGCAGTGCCTTGTTTAGGGTCCAGAATTTAATCTAAATATTAATTTAAAAACATCTGCATTATGGAACGCGAAATAAGTAAGAAAATAAAGTAATGACGATTGGTTCGCTCCAGGCGATGTGCTTGTGGTACAACACGGCTTTGAACATGCGCCTGAAGGTCCTCGCGGTGCGAAAAATGCTGCGCACCCTCAAGTCCAAAAACCACAGACGGGTGTTCAGCCCTTTCGCCTCCACAGACTCCGACGTTAGTCGGTAAGCATTTTAATAACACGATATTTTCTCATTATCTATAATATAGTGACGTTGTTTTAACTGCCTCCCACGCCTCCGAACAGTTACCATGCTGGACTGCCACGCAGAGGTCCCGTGTTCGAATCCCGGACCGGAAATATTTGTATAGCCTACATTTATTTCTCTCGTGATTTTGGGTGTAATTTGTGGTTGTCTATATGTGTGCCTGCGTTAAAAAAAATAGTATTATATTGTCGCCTTAGAGTGAAAACCTCGCATACGCGTTTTCACATAGTTGTTTGTTTTTACAGATTTTTGTTGCTCAAATACATTATTAAAGTAATAGTAACGGAAACAGATATAATTTAATTAATTCAAATGCTTAGTACACACATTGCGCGTATTACATTTTACGCCACATCTTCGTGTTGAAAAATTACTTGGAAATCACATACGAGGTATTCGCTCTAAGATGACGATATATGGAATTAAATAGTTACATGCATGAGTAAATAATTAAAAAATTTGTATAGAAGCGTCATGAAATTGATAAAACGAAAAAAAGAAAAGAAAATGACATCCAGAATATAACTAATAAAAACGTTGTTATTATTATTGAAAGATCGAACACAAACGAAAATTCCTTCTATATGACTGAACTGACAGGGGGCCTATTCTCACTCTTCGTCCGGCATCCGTCCGAAACAATTACCGTCAAATAAATAATAATCCACTAAATTATAAGACGCATGATACGAATGAAGCTTCACACTTGACGTTGTCTTACGTAATAAAGTTATATTTATTTATATATTCGTATAAATAACGATATTCATATTTCGAATACTCCGTCGGCAGACAATCAGTGGATCAAAGGCAATGCACAGTCCGCTTCAACGTGAGCAGCACTCCCACTGACTCGAACAACAGCGACTCTAGCCATTCCGATCATAAAGAGAGTTCTGACGAAACTAGTCCCCCTGGCGATGGTGAGACGAATGAGGAAGAGAAAGGGGATGAGGTCGATAACGGGAAGGTTGTTGGTAAGTTTAACCAAATTCTTATATTGTCTCCTTACAAGAGTTAAGTAGTCTAAAGTTTATTGTTATTTAAGTGGCTGCTTTCAGAGTCTGTACAGTGTCATCACCGTGACTGATAATTTATTGATTATATTAAATGAAAAGTTAGTTGTAATCTTCACCTCTAACGGGTGTCGTGTGCTTTATTAAGATTGGCTAAGAAGGGACAGAGGAACTTTTCCGCCACGTGACAGAATATACAAGATACTTTTTGAGCTCGAGGTTAGACTTGTGCTTATTTAAGCTACAATGTTCCATGGAAGCCCTGTCTAGCACTGTAGGCGTTAGTCCAGGGCCATAGATCGTTCAAGACCATTTGTCTGTAGCCAAAAATTTCGGAGATTAACGAGAAGGTTTAGGCCACAGTCCGCGCACTAGTCCAATGCGGGTTGGAGACAACGTTTCCCAAGGATTGTGAGTCTTTTTGAGAGGTATTGTTACTATACATTCACAAATTACGTAACTTAGAAATCAAAATCGTCAGTCCTTACCGTCGCGGTGATCCGTGAAGTCGACCTCTTAATTAAATAGCAATTGTTCTTTCAGTTACTAAGGCTGGTTTCACAGCTGTGCGTACGGTCCGTACGGACTGTCCTTTCCGCCTGCGGGCCATCTGCATACGTAGAATCAGCAGTGCTCTGAATTGAGTATTTAATTTAGTGCGGATATTCATAGAAGATTGTCACGGATTGTCGCGGATTGTTCACGCGGAGCAATCCGCGTCACTGTACAACGATGTTCTAACGCCACACGTGTTAAATCCGCTCCGATGCTTCGCGCGGACGGTCCGCAGATAAATCCGCACTTCTCTGAAACCAGCCTCCGTCCTCTCTTATCATGTTGTCTCCGTCATTTAAAAAAAATGTTGGTATTAGTTGATTTCCACGCGTGGTAGTTTTATCCCCAAACTAAGAAGCCGGTAGCGAATGAGTTGTTGGTATGCGCAGACGGCCAACGCACACCGGAAATAGTGATATCGGACAGCAACTACGGCACGTCGGACACGACGGCGTCCAGCGAGAGCGGCTACAGCACGACGCGCGAGCACGACGCCGCCTGGAGCAGCGACGACGTGTTCGACGTCGGCAACCTGGAGGAGCTCACGCAGCTGCGGCTGCTGGGCAAGTGCGCGGTCTCGCCCTACAGGTGCGCTGTCATCAGTCTGATAAACTTAACAAAAGTTAACCATTCGTAGAACAATAAACCTGCGTACTCTGTAGCGTGGCTTCCGTTCCATATCCTTGCAACATAAGTAGTGATCGGAATTGAGGGAATTAACCTACCAAAAGTATGAACCTTTTCTTAGTATGGACATACCCATTTCGTCATCAGTGCGTATAAAATTACCTTTTTTGCTGTTTATTTTCTGAACATTCCAAAATATAGGTAATCCAGTATTCGAGAACGAAAGGCATTTTTTTTAAACTACAGCTTAACTAGACAACCGGTACAGTTGGATGCCCGTTGTTTAATAGGTTAAGCTGCAGCGTAAGCTGCCTGCAAGTACATTGAGATGATAACTCTACTTTCTCACCTGTATGGTGCAGGGACGATACGGGTGCCTAACTAAATACGTAAGTACCTATGGAAACACAACTACAGTTTTGTGTTTTGAAACAATAATTAGTAGCATATATTTAATAAGAAATACTAATTTGTCGCCAATGTACTAAAATTTCTATAAATAACACGCATATTCAAATATATTCAGTTCCGAAAAGTCCCGGGCTTTGGGTAAGGGAATGTCCACGTTATTGTTTAGCTTCCTTAACTCCCTCAATTCCGACCACTGCACATAAGTTATAAAATAACCTCTTGTTTCGTTATTGGACTATGTTACAGTTAATGTATATGTGTACATTTGTACCGTAAAACAAATTACAATACATGAATTTCAAATTTGTGTGTTAAAACGAATAGGAATTCTTATATATGGTGTATGTGTAGATGGTGTGTGTGTAGTGGTTTAAAAATAAATGGTTTATATTATCATTTACTGAATAACCACGAAAATCTTACAATCTGTAAATGGATTTCTTCGAATTAACCTTCGAGTAACTGAAAGGTTAATTGGTTCCTAGTTTGGCAATGCAATGCTACCTACTTAAGTAACGCAGATAAATTACATCTAATGTAGATGTACATCCAGGGTTAAGATCACACTGTCAAACATGCGTGCATGCTGGTATCTATATGTCGGATCAGAACTTTGAATGTGAGCATTATCTTCTTTTTCTGCAATCGCCATTGGGTACTCTGGGAATCGAAATCAAACGACAACAGTTCAGAGGTTACATTTATATTGTACTTCACAAACACTAATCAAAAGAACAATGTCCAATTACGAACTGGCAGGTTTGACGCGGTGGTCCGAGGACACAGCGTTTATTAACCTCTCTTTAAATTCACATCAAACAAGAAAACCAAGACTAAACACTCTTGCGCCACCACCGTTACGTTTTTGAACTCACCTCACTCGCGTGTTACCTCGTCAACTTTGCCCGAGAAACGTCATCGCGTTCTCGAGTTCGTCACTAGATGGCATTAGTTGCAAAAATATCAAATTATTTTCAAATAATGTTTACACTATATGATAAGTAACAGGTTTGATGTGATCTTATCATTTGTATAGTACAATATATTATATATTGTACTATACAAATGATAATTCGTTATTGCATGTTTATATAGTAAAAAAACTCGATCTACATTTAAATAATTTTGAAGAAAATTGTGTTTGGCATTCGTTACGTTTACGTTGAATGTTGTTGCCAGAGTGTACCATCAGGAGATGCTGAAGACGCAGGGCATCCGGCGCTGCATGCAGTTCATGAACAAGATGCGCTCGCACGTGCTGAACAAAGCACATCGCACACTGGAGAAGCCCGATGTGAGTAGACTTTCGGCTTTAACAAACCAAGACCGAGAGATGGCGCTGATATAGCAAAACTAGGATCGTCATTGGATCCCAAAGTATAATAGGGTTGCCCTAGTTGGGGATCTGATTTTTTTGTCAGTATACAACCCACAATTTGTTATTATTTGTCCCTTTTGATACTTGTGTTACTGTTGTACTGAGTAAATTATTTATTATTGTTGAAATACTTTAAGTACTACTTAAAAGTCATATGGCTCTCATTTTTGTTACAACAAATGGACACAAGACATAGAAAAATTTCCATTTTGATTAATATTTCTTATTCAGAAAAATATTTTTCCACATTTGATAGTTGATACAAAAGTTGAAGGTACTAAATGAAAACGATGGAACCATTATAAAGCTTTTTTCCTGAGATTAACTTCCTTAATAGTAGACAACAAGTGCATAAAATGCGTTATGCGGCTCGGGTGGATACTTAGTCGAGGGTAAAATGGGTTCTATGAACGAGTTATACACTCTGCTTTTACTTCGATTGCGAGGAAATTAAACAGCAATATTAAAAATAAACGATTATTTAATTAAAATTGAATGTAAAATTACAACAATTAGACATATAACGCGGATTAAAAAAATAAAAGTAAATCTTTATAAAGTTCTATTGTGCGTGGCTGTCGGAGCAGGCGTCATTGCCTCGGACTTAAACGACGATTTTCTTTTATGCACTAGAGCATAAAATCCTATTTTATGCAGCATAAATACGAATTTTAAGTGCATGAGAAGTGAAAAATAAATTTTATAATTTACGCTAAACAAAACTTCAAAAGATATCTAAGCGTGAAACATAATATGAGCCTCCGAAGTATATTTTTCAATTTCTCAGAGATTTTTCCCGGAAAATTACAACTATTTGAAATTTTAGGGAAAATTACTCAAACAGTAGTTACCAACTACCATTGCTCAGCATAGTATTTTTGCTAAATGTTGCCCAGTGGCGCCATCCGTAACAAATTAGCTCGTTATGTTTTAGACCGTGACCGAGGAAAAGACTGACCCCTTGACTGAAGACGACCCGGCGGAAGTGTTTGATGACACCAAAGAAGAAGAGGAGAAGAAAGAGTCTGAAGAGGACGAGGAGGCCAAAAAGACTTACGAGTTGAGGAGGTAAGCTTTTATATTTAGTCACATTTAACGTTGAATTGAACGTCATTTATAATTATGACCTAAAATAAGCTATTTATTCAGTCATATGTTGTTATGTCAATAAATCAGTTTCGATTCGACATTTTGTATTGTCAAAATGATGAATTAATTGATTTGCAATTGGCCATCATTAAACTGTCTAAGGTTGAGTCAATGACCTGTTTGTTATGCAAAATGGATTGAAACGAACCATTTCTCAATGGTTTCAGATACGGCTGCTGCTCAGAAGAGAGTCTGGCAATGAGGCTACCTTCGTATCGCAGCCACCTGCTGTTGTTGAATTCGGTTTGCATGGAGGCCGTGCACGACTACCTTACGCTGAGGCTCGAGGATCGCCCCGCCAACCCCTCGTGTCTTACCGTTAAGCAGGTAATTCGTGCTTCTGGAGGTCGTGAAAAATCTCTTCAATCAAGACGACAGGGCTTTTTTAATGGCGAGTAATACCAGGGGGTCGATTCAGAACCTTACGATAACTTCGTTGTCGACCGATTTTTTTTTTTCATTTTTATTCACAACACCTTAATCGAACGTCAAACTGTCGTATTCGACAGCGAACCGAAATGACGTCACACCCGTACGATTACTCGAACTTCTCGACCGGCAAAGGCTACAAACGTTATTCACAACACAGTTATCGAATGAAAATTACCGATCGTCCTATTGTTTATAAAGCAAGAACGTAATATGGAAATCTCTTACTATCGAGTTCTTAGGTTTTCGCGATTGTTACGCATAGGAAATGAAACTCATTTTTCCGGATTTAAATCGGATATATTGTCTTGTCGTAAATCGCGTATACAGATCCCATGGTCACGGTTGATTCAGTTACCGTGACTATGGGACCTGTAAGGGCCTGAAACGTTGGTTTGTTTGAAAAAACAAATATACGCGATTTAAATCCGGAAAAATAGTTTCAATCTTTTATTATTTTAAATAACAAAAAGTTGTTGTTCAAGGATTTTTTATTGTTAAAGGATTTTGTTCAATTTTATTAATTTGTTTTAATGCAATATTAAGGAATGCTTTAATGTTGCATTAAAATAAATTAATGTTTTAGGTCTTTGAAGTCTTAAATATGTATATAAAAGGATTTTCATTTTTTTTATAATTTATTTCACCGACTAACTCCGTAAACGCTGTTGGATAACGCTATCGTACCTACCCGAATCGAACGATTCGGTTAAAATGTCGAGGAGTAGTGAATCGGGGTCCGGGAGGTGTTTAGCTCCGGGCTGTGAAGAAAAAGTCTAATTTAGCCCAAAAACGTTTGAACTAGACACACCGTTAGCATTATTTGATCGCCGTCGCTCAGAGCGTGCTTGGTTGTCGCGCAGCTGATCCACGAGCTGAAGGAGGGCCTGGACATCGCGCTGGAGACGCGCACGGCGTACGCGCGCAACATCGAGGTGCTGCTGGCCGGGAACCGCGCCGCCGACGCCGTGCGCCGCGACCTGCTGCTGCTCGTGCGCACCTTCGACGCCTCCGTCGAGACCGTGCTGAAGGTGCGCCGCCGCCGCCGCCGCAGCCGCCCGGCGCCGGCCCGTCTCACGCCCCGCTGTTGCAGGAGTACCTGTCGTACCTGCGCACCATGTCGCTGGTGGAGCCGCTGCCGCGCAACGCGCTGCAGCAGGAGTGGGCCTTCTCGGCGCGGCTGGCGCGCCACCTGCGCCCGGCCGCCGCGCAGGCGCCGCTCGCCTTCTCGTAAGTCGCGCCCGCGCTCGGGTCGGGGACGCGCGTCTGTGCACGCGCCGCCACTCGCGTTTCTTGCCGAGGTCGGCCGCTTAAAATTACAGTCATTCACTCAAAATGTACGCTACAATACAATGTTCGACGTCTGTTTATAATAGCAATAACACACAAACTCAATATAGCCCCGCACTAGGGAAACCCTGTGTCGCGGGTGCTATGAACACACACATAGGCAGAAGCAAATTGCACTTAAATGCACGGGAGAAATAAATGTAGGCCACACAAATATTTCTCCCGGCCCGGGAATCGAACCTGGAATGCGTGCGTGGCAGTCCGGTATGGTAATTTTTCGACCGTGAGGTCAGAATGACTTTATGAAATTTATTTAAATTATATTATTATACATTATTATTTTATTTGCTATTATTTTATTTATTTATTATTTCAAATAAGACTGAATCAATCACCAATTAAATGTTTAATATTGATTTCTAGTCTGTTACAAATTCTGATTGTATTACATAAATGTTCTGCCGTCGGAGTGAAAAAGGGCATAACTATCATATAAAATATGCATAGGGTGTAACTGCTGTTTAAAGTATGCATAGTTGTGTCTTTTTTCGTTACGAGAGCAGTATTGTGCCCTCAGAACGAAAGAAGGAACAACTGCTGTTTAAAGCACGCATAGTTATGCCTATTTTCATGACGAGAACAGTGTTGAAGTCGAAAGGTTTGTTACGGATTCCGTTCACGTTAACGGAGTGTCTTTGGATATTTTATTAGAAAATATAAGGGCGTATTTCCAAAATGTTCATTCCTTCGTGCAGAGTTTCGAGAGAACGGTCATAGCTTACACGTGCACACCGTTTCCGTATTGTGACCGCGAAACGAAACGCCCGTAACCCGAGCCCGCCTGTCGCGCAGGGAGATCGCGTGCAACCAGCTGGAGCGCATAAAGAACCAGTTCGAGTGGAAGTTCAAGCAGCTGGACGCCGTGGACGAGACGGCGGGCGGCGACGCGTCGCGCCACGTGGTGTACGCGCTGTGCCGCGAGGCGCAGCACATCTACGCCAGCGAGCGCGAGGCGGCGCTGCAGGCGGCGCAGTGGGCGCGCCAGCTGGCCGCGCGGCTGCAGCGCGCGCCGCCGCCCGCCTTCGTGCCGCAGCGGGGCGCCATCTTCGTGAGTGGACCGCGCCCGCCCGGTCTGGCCCCCTCGCCCCGCCTCACCCCGCCTCTCCCCTTCTCCGCAGAGGAGCCTGATGCGGCTGCGCGACAGCGTGGTGGCGCACACGCGCGAGATCGTGTGGCGCTCGGCGGCCGTGCAGGCGCCGCCGCCCGACGGCTGCGAGGCCGACGCCGCCGCCGCGCGCGTGCGCGAGCTGCTGCTGCAGGCGCACCGCCTGGGCTTCGAGGTACCGCCCGCCCCGCCCCCGCCCCCGCCCCGCCCCTTGCACTCCGCACCGGCTCCTACACCCCGCACGTGCGTGTTGTTCGCAGCTGCACAAAGAACTCTACAGATTTGCGCAGGCGCCCTTCCAGCTGCAGGAGGAGAAGTGCTCCAAGAAGCGGCCCGTGTCCCTCCAGCCGATCAGGCCGAAAGCGACCGACACGCGACGAAGGAGGCCCGAGACGATGATCATTAACGAATCGGTCAACCCCATGGTAGGCGTTGTGTGTCTGAACACTTGCTTATTGTCGGGTTCCGCTTTTTGTTTGCCTTGGAACACCTAGTCGTGTCGATCAAAGTGGAGAAGAAAATGCCTGAAACTGTCATTTTTAGGAAGTCTTTAAACTTACGTTGTATCTCAAAACTTGCTTCATATTTGTGTTTGTAAGGTATCAACGCAAGTAAAAAGGAATTCGCAATCCGCATTGAGCCAGCGTGACAAATTACAGCCTGAACTCTCATTGTGAGAGGAGGCCTGTGCCCAGCAGTAGCACTATATATAGGCTAACTGTTATTAAATATCGGGTAAAATTAAAAACAGTCTAAATAAAGGGAAAAAACGAGAGACCGTTAACAGGTGTTCCTATCCAATAAACGTGTATTTGGGCATCGCTTTGGGTTTGGGCATGCTTTTTAATTGTGTCAATGGCACACCCCATGTGACCAAGAACACTCAAACAGAAGAAAAGAAAAATTCTAAAATCACCACCCTTAATGAATTCTTCGAATGGTTTTGTGCTTTGTGTTTTTTGGTGTCGTTCCCGATTTGTGTTCTAATTATTCAGGCTAAGAACAATTAAGATTAAAAGAAGAAAAGGTCCTTGATTGACTTTAAACTTTAAGGTAGGAACTGGTGCTTGCTTGTGTGTTTGGGTCCAGCTCTTTCTTTTTGTCAATAGGATTGAAAGTCTGTGAGCTATTGATACGAAATTGTGTTTTAGCTTGAAACGCAGTAGGCATTGTGCAATGTTGAGTTTTGGGGTCCAGTTTCAGATACAGCTACCACTGAAAGTTTACAGTAAAATTTATGTAATTGTTTCGTCGTGCCTGCTCGTTACCAAAATAGATTGATCAAAAATATTTCTTGGCTATGGAGCTTTTACATATGTGGTTTTTGTGTTTTTATTTTATTTCATGGATAAAGGGAATCACGCGTTATGTGTTTTCGGTTTGGATATGTATTACGCAATAATCGCCATTAACACTATTACACAATTCACTGGGTAGCCGATGCTAAGGTTCGGAATAGTGGTACTACTGAAAATTGTGTTCAGTAGTACCGGTGTCAATAAAAAATTTCGCCTGGAACGGGTTCGTTTACGTAATAGCAGATAATTCTTACTTAAAGAAAACATTGGTATTGCAAATTTCAAGTTTTGTCATATACATACATACAAGAGAAAATCTTAGTCATTAATTGCAATATACGCGATTTAAAAATACGAAAACTTTTTAACATAGAAGTCGCTACTAAACTAATGGTTAATTGATCAATTTGCACAATTTTACAACCGGTGGCATTTTGCTTCAAGGCAATGCCGTCAACATTAATAGAATATTTGTATTGCAGAAGCGTGCTTTTAGGGCAATTTACAAGACGCCAGAGTGTCTCATAAGAGATAAGTTTCAATGGTACCTACATGGTCTTGTACTGATGGCACATGCACATTTTATAAAAATATAATTAATTGTAAGACAAATATTGATAGACATATCATGACCACGAGAAACAAAAACAAACTGACTGTTTTTGACAGTCGTGTTGCAAATTCAGATAAGGGACAATGTATAGGCTTCCATAATAATGGAATAATAAAATAAAAATAAAAATGAATATCATAAAAATAAAATTTTTAATGATATTCAAAATTTCATACACAAGATTATACAGCTTCTGCTTAGTAGGATGATAAAAGTCCTTGGGAATGATTATGTTAGCTCTTTCAGTTTACTTCTATGATGGGAATAAACTAAGTATTATTATAAATGTGCACAAAACATGCATATTGTCAAACTACAAACCGTTAGGAGTTTTCGCAGGAATCTGCATTAGGAATAAGTTTAATCCGTTTGAAGATTTGAAAAGGGACTTGTTAACCTGTGAAATAAAGATTATTAGATAAAATTTTAAGTAGCAAAATTGCCGGTTTGCAGATTCACAAAGAGCTGCACCGCTTCGTGAATGAGTCCCCGGGCCGCGGGTCTCCTCCGGGAACGCGGCGGGTGGCGGGGTCGTCCCCTCCGCGCGTTTCCCGTTTCAAGTTCTTCCGCTCCGAGAGCATCAGCGAGGACGTGGAGCTGGCCAACTCCGTGCTGGACGATAGATTCTTCGACAATATTCATAATTTCGGTGACAACCAGGTGAAACCATCTTTACTTTAGTCAATATAATTTATCACCCGTTGTAACAGTGAATAGAAGGCTACCGGTTTCACTTCACTTTTATTGAAATTAAATTATTCACAAGTATTATTTATTTGACTGAATATCATTATTTTTACTATCATGATATTCACGTCTGACGGACAAGAAACTGCGAGAGAGGAGCCACCTGCAGATGAATGTGTATCACGCGCTCCATCTGCCGGTGGATTTCTACGGAGTCTGGGTGGGGAACGGTGGTGGTAAACGAGAGAGGACACAGTGGTGGTTGGACTCTCGGGCTGCACACACGCTACCTAGAAACTGTCCTACGTTTCGCCTAGTGCCTATTTTGATCGTTAAAATTGATAGAAAGGACAAAGTTGTTATTCGATTTCATAGTGGTTAAAATATACAGTGTTACTTTTCAACGTAATATCAATGCACAATGTCTGAAG